CCCCCCCAAGTCTCTTGTAGACACATTTCTTCTACTCAACTCTTCTTCTGTAGGCATTGCCTTAATCCATGATCCTGTTGCTCCATCAACCGACTTTCTCGCTTCCTCCTCGTCGATAGACGACCAGGTCTCCTCGGGTGGAGAGTACATTAGCCCTGCTTCTGTGTCAATTGACCAGGAGGAAGCAGATGAGACTGAGATTTTCTCCTCTCCTCTGCCTCAACAGCCGCCCACTCTTTTTCCCTTCGCTCTCAACCCCTCTGAACTAATTCAGCGGATCAAAGAGAAGGGTGGAGAAGGTGAGACGCGTGTTTCAGTGATACATGGTCGTCTCCCAAATCCGCTAGAAGGCACAGGAACTTTGGTACACTACCAGTGTGCAGACAATACGGAGATAGTAGTTCTTTCAAAAAAGCCAGGGTGGATGGCAGCTCTACAACCACTCTTTTGCATTGTCACTCTGTCTATTAGTCTTGATGAGTATGCAGAAGCGTCAAGTGCACTGAAAGGAGCCTTACGTTGTTTCTTTTGCAAAAGGCTGAATGGCGTCTTAAAGGGCTATCTCTTTGATGATACAGCTGGCTGAAACAACAACCAGTCAACAATGTGCACACATCTTAGTGTTTGCCTATACACTTTATTGCTCATTCGCTACTGTTCGAAGGTCATCGTTGTAAAGTAGTGATTTTCATGCTGAATTTTAGATAGCGACAGTTGCTAAGACTCTCTAGCCTTCCTCTTGGGAGTCTCTGTTTGCTACACTTTTAAAATGATGGCTGTCTCCTTTTGAAGATGTGCTGACTTGGCATGCGAACAGTGAGGTAGGGAGTTACAATGGTTTTTTTTCAACACTCACTAGCAAACCATCCGAGTTGTGCCAGAGAATGTTGTGGTGCATCCAATTTCGGAAGTGAATGGAGTATAAACGAGCAGAAGAGTGCTTCATGCAATCAGCATCATAGCAGAGAGAGGTTTTCTTTGTTGCCTCTGCCTCCTCCTGCATTAAATATCTACATACTTGTCTGTTTACAGAGCCGTACCGATTACATGATCTTCTGCTGGGATATCCGGACAAGAAATTCAAGATTTTCCTCCCACCCGTGTTGTGTCTAAATGATGCCCGAAGACACTTAAAGGCATTAGTTTAGGGAAGTATGTCAGTTTTACGTGTGAACACGACGAGTCTGCGACACTAGTATGGCGAATGAAGGTTGTGAAGTTGAAAATATACACTTGAAGGGGAAGTCATTTGCCTTCCCAACTTCCTGACAATATTACACAGCCACTGCAACGAATCCTCCGTTGACATATTTAATCATGTTGACTTTCTGAAGCGGTGATTTCATGATAAAGACACGTCCTGTTTATGAGTTATCCACATTTGCAAGACGAGAAGTTAAATGGCTGCTGAATAGCTTAGTTCATTCCGATAACTCTATCATTCTTTTGTTCGTCTGCAGAATTGACCTCTTCCTCCTCCTCCCCCTCCTCCTCTTCCTCATCGTCATTATCGCCTTCGCCCTCCTCACACGGAACCTCTACAAGTAGTAGCCCTTCCACCACACCATCAAATGTGCACACCACTGATGTCGCTATCTGTGCATCATCTGTCACCGATTCGCACATTCCTGAATTCTCATCTCTCCCCACGCCCCAGCGAAGTCCGACCTACGCAAGTCGGAGCAGTAGTGGTGGTGGTGGCGGTGATATTAGTGGGGATAGAGGAGGCAGTGATGCTGTAGTTGAAGATCAATTTCACACGTGTCCTCACGTGCGTCCTTCCTCTCTGCTATCTCAACGTCAGAGAAAGATGTTGGGTGCTGACTCAGGCTTCTATTTCCACGTCCTTTCCTCTACCTCCGCTTCTGCCTCTGCATCCGCCTCATCCTCTACCGGTGTCGGTGATTGCAACGCAATTGTTGGGGGAACAGTAAGAGAGGGATCAGCAAACGAGCAATGCAGTCTCTCCTCCGGGTTCCAGTCTCATTCACGCAACTCTAGTTTTGAGTCCGCTGGTTTGTCAAGGTAATAATTTGCCAACATCGTACCATTACTTTCGATATCGTTTGGTAGTAGGCGTGGAGATCCATAAATCATAGTGTTTTCAAGGGTTGCATCAGTTAGACGGGTAGATATGTAGGCATGAGGATAATGGAAACTGCCTAATTTGTAATGATGCATTAATCGTGATTTATTTGCAGTACTTTGCCAAGCAAGGGGAGCTCAGAAGTGTTATACTTGCGTTGTCACAGTCACCATTACCTGCTGTCTTAATGAACGACGTATGGACTGTTTTAGTCTACAAACGACTTTGTGTTCACTTGGAATTTACTTGCACATGTACATTCGTCACATATTTGGTCTTGTAGTGTTGCTTAGATTTGATCATCTGTAATTGAGATCTAGTTCAGCTGTAAACAACTTCAGCTATGGATCTGTGGAGGCGAAAGAGGACCGGGTGTATTGAAGGTAGTGCGATCTGACATGGTTACACCAAACTAAAGTATAAAGAGATTAGAATTTGCGGCGAATTGAAGGAGTGCTATCAGTGATACTTTTAGGTTTCGCCAAACTCTCAATCTTTTTTGTGGTAGAAGGCCTTTATTTGCCCACTCCTTTGATAGCCATTGTAATGGCGGCTCTTGTGCGGCTACTTTGTGTTTGATTTTGCTGAAGCACTATTCGTGAACGTCAACCACTTCGGTTTGCTTTATTTTGTCACACTCCAACCCTCTCAATGGTTTAGAAACTCGATGTGCTGTGAGATACAATCAGTGCCATATGCTATTTGGAAGGGAGCCAAATACATATGTGAAAGCTATTTCATCTGTAGATAAAGCTTACCGTGTAAAAGGAGCATTTCATGTCGCCCATCAGCAGTTTGACGGATTGGGCGCATTTTACTCTCTGCATCATTGTTCGATGGGTGAAAATGTCTGTTCACATTGCTTTCTGCACAAAATGGATGTCTTGGGAGCCATTCAAACAACATTGTCGTTACACAGAGGCACGGTGTGTATCGCACATGCTCACCACCTGCTCAAAACCTGAACCTGCCCTTTCAATGTATCGCATGCACAGCTATGAGCTTTACGGCGTGTCTTGAGGGCTGCGTAAGGGTCGGGTCGGGTCGTTGAGGCAATCGCATTTTACAGCTGATGTAGCAAACCTCATTTCCTCCCATTCAGACGTGAGGCGGTTGTTTTCTCCCCCCAAACGTACGGTCAAGTCTGGTTTTTCACTCCATCGTTTGCACATTTTATGCTGCTTTCACCAAACTGATTGTTTGTCCATTAGCAAGGCTGCAATATGCCTTCCTTGTTGCTACGGCGACAGATGAATGAGAGAGTAAACGAGGCTTATGTACAAAAGGAGGTGTAAGAAGGGGATCTAATGCATTGAACCTGTACTTGCATCATTTTGAGTACTGAATCACTTTTTGCTTCTTTTGCAGGTGCTTCCCCGGTGAATTGGTAGGTGCTTTGCCTCTTATCCACATTTCGTCTCCTTTTTGTTCGAACGGGTTGCTATGAAACGGTGAGAATGTTGTTTGGAGTTGGCTTTGAACACATCTTCACCAAACTTTTTAATGGAGCACATGTCTCTCCTTCATCGCATGGATTTCTCCTTAAAATCTTTCATTTTATGACAAGCATCGAGATAGGCCTTGAGCGCTATTGCTTTGGGATAGCAGTCTCGATCCCAGCGAGGAATAGGTATTAGAATTCTTGATTCTTCTTCTTCGGGTGATTGCTTTCCTTCTTCATTGGCAACAATCTAACATTCCTCCTATGCACTAACACTGACATTACTCCACGCACTGGAGGTTTGACGTGTTTCGTGTAATTTGAGCTGGCATTTTATTTATTCGATAGACAACAACTCCAACTGGCAGCTCCGGAGACTGCCAACTTTCAATTGGGGGCGCTGGAGGCAGTAAGCAGCATCTCATTGATGCGACACGCGTACCTCACGACGAGGTGGTGAATCAAGTTCTTCGCACCTCTGCCATCTCTCACCACTCTGCCTCTTCGCCGCCAAACTCGGTCTCAAGTTAGTCTTCAGCGGCTTTGTATCAATTTGTTCAGTTGCCTTATCTTCTGCCTCCCCATCAATCTGTCCACCCACACAACCATTCCTGCGTGTCAAGTTCAGGTATCCTCCCTCAGTAGTCCCACTTCCATGCGGAGTGGTCACATGGAGCTGTGCTCTTCTCCTCCATTTCAATGAGATGTAGTACAAACGAAGTGTGGTAAAACATGTAACAGTCCTTAAACTGTGACAATGCAGCCATTGAAATCAAAGCTGAACGTAAAAGTAGTATGAGAGGAGATTAAGCTACCAGTTAATACAAAGTTGTAGCATGATGGTAATGTTCATTCTTCATTTCTCTACCCTAGTCATCACCGACACGAGCATGTGTCCTTTTGGTTAGGCCGTTAGGACGGTTGATTCTCCTGATTGCAACATTGTGATACGCCGTTGCTTGGGTGATGCTTCATTTCCGCCGTTTCCTCCTTCTCTTCCTTCCTTTCCTTTCTCGCTCTCGAAGATGGTGTTGACCTTGCTGATTGGAGGTGGAGAGGAAGAGGGACTGCGGTCTCTTCATCCACTTGCTATGATGCGACACTTCCTCTTGCATTTGCTCAATATCGAAATGTGTTAATGTTTAGTATATTCTCTCTCCCTTCCCGCCGTTATCAATGCCGTTGCAGTCTTAAAGACCACCACTCCTGCCTGGAATTGATAGTATTACTTCAATTTTGTCCCCTTCCTATCCGCCTGCTTACACTTCTGCGCCATTCTCGTTTAGCTCCTCAGATGTATTGGGGCGGTCCAAGAGGCGCTCGCACACCTCCTTTCCTTCTCGTGTTTGTTTCTTCCCCACCTCCCACATGTTCCTTCTTCTCTTCTTATTTCATTTATTTTGCCACGGAAATGGACTTGTATGTGATACGAGAGTGATCCGCTGCCATGTGTTGCCCCTACCTCTTCGTAGCCCTCCTCTAACTTTACGAGCGTGTTATTGTGTTTGTTTTTGCTGTGGTCGGAAAATCATATGCTGGACATATGGTGCTGAAGGGCCTCTCCGTCGATGTTAGGCGAGGTAGAAGATCGTAATTATTAAATGAAAGGGTGGTATCATACGCAAGGATGGAAGAGTTTGTGTAAATAGTAAGTAATATTGCTGTTTTGCAAAATAGGAAGGTGAACAATAGCTTCTATATTATTAGATCAAAGGCTGATGCCATCTTTGGAACGGTGTCAGGTTAGAGGGTAGCATTTCACTAATCGGGTTTCTCTCTCTGTATATATGTATATACATACATAGCATCGATGCTTCCATTCCCTTCGCATGAATATCAGTAGGGATGAGCATAAACCTCAACAAGCTGTCGTATGAGGACAGTGGAAAGGTGCTGTGACACGGTAAATGCTTCATCATCCCAATTTCACTCCTGAATCGATTCCGTTTGGGTACATCATTAATTAGAAGTCGTCAGTCCAGTGCGACTAAATGAAAGGGAGACCGAGAAGCGTGCGCGGATGCAGATGCAAGGGTCGCCTAGAAGAAAATTATCGAAACTTGTCTAATATTGTCGCAACAATCCTTCTAATGTGCAAACTCATTGACCACCGAATAGGAAGCATTGTTGCGTGCGTGGGGGACATCATCCCAACAAAGTCTTGTGTTTGGTTAAGCGTTAAAGTTTAAAAAGGAAGACAATGCTGCATTGCTGATCCCGAGAAGTGAGAAAAGGAGTGATGTGCCAAAGTAAATGCAAAATGCTGTGTCGAGTAAAAACCATTGAGCTGCGAAAGTCACGCATTAAGCAGAAGGGGTTGCTGGATAGGTTTTATTTGAGGTCGAAGTAAAGTGGTTTGCGATTCGGTTATGGGGAGCTTTGCTGTGCTTTTCGAGTGGTATGAGATTCTTTCAAAACGTGGAACAACAGCGGGTATTCGAGCCCCTTTGAATGATAGAATGTGAGGATGGGTTTCATGACAGTGGGAGCATCGGTTACTGCCCTTTTCACTGAATCGATTGCGTGGAGGAGGGCAATCCAATGCTGCTTTGACCTCCGCAGATTATTTAGTGGGCTCTCAAGTCTGTCAGGAGGGCAGCAAAGTGGGTGTGCGAGAGAGGACGAAATAGAAGGGTGGGTCGTACCAGTTTTAACTTCAAGTGAGAGGTATAGTTTGAAGTAAAGGAATGGATGAGCAGAAGCTGCAAGCGGACCGTAACATTAAGGCATGGAAAGAATGAGGAGGCAAAGATTGTACGGTCCAGCTCCTGACAGGGAAAATGCTACGAATCGAACTCGATGCGGCGTGCATGCGAAGTGAACGCTTTATCCCCCCAAAAAAATCTCAACTATGGCCTTCACCACCACTATCAGGCTCTCTTGCACCTCTTCACCTTGCCAATGATGAAACCAGACTAATAGTCGTCTCCAACTGTCAGGCAAGCCATTGCAACTTCAGTAATGCGGATGATGCATATGTATCATAGCAGCACAGGCAGGGGGAATGAAACGATCCTATTGCTGCGCACTGTGTGCCTGACAGACTGGGTGATGAGGAGGGTGAATGTGATGTGAGGGTAGGCGAATTACCAAAGAAGGGGGTGTGTGCACAGGAAGTCCAAGTTGCGGTGGTTGCAAGATAGCACTAGCGCTAGACCGCACGATTAATATCTGTTTGCTGGCAATAACCACTGCTGCTGCTGCTGCTGCTGCTGCTGCGGCTGCTGCTGCTCACTGGCATCCACGCGTTTGCACATCTGCTCGCCTCCCTGGAGCCGCAAACAGCGCATCGGCGGAGATAGGATGGGGTGGAGTGGGGTGGGTGGTGTGGTGTGGCCGTGGGGTGGAGTGAGGTGTGGTGAGGAGGTAAGGGAGGAAGGAAAG